GGCTAAAGTATAAAATTTGAAAAATTTAGGGACCAAAAAATGTAATTTTGAAAAGTTATATATTTTATTTAGCCTGTAAATGAACAACTTGATCTAAAAAAAAGATTTTCGTGGGAATCATATTTTCGGTACAGGATTTGTGTTAAAAGCTATAAAGCGAAAAAGTTCGGTATTGGAATCAAATAATCGGATCGAACTGGAATTTCATGAAAATTTAAAGGATGTTAGAAAAAGGTTGGAAATAGTATTTCAACATTTTAGATCAGAGAAATCTGGCTCAGAATAGTGTAATTTTTCATATTTGACTGAACAGTGGAATTTTAGTGACTAAATGCTATTTTTGAAAATTACATGGCCAAAGTAAAAGGTCAAAGTCAAACTGATTCATCTTTGACTAAATAATATTTTAATGGAAGATATTGTAATGGAAATTTGTAAATATCAAGTCCCATTAATGGTATTTTGGAGATTTTTCATTAATTGAATTTTAAATTCAATTTAATTGGTTTAAATACCGTGTTTATCATGAAAATTGGTAGAAAAATTAAGAATTCTTCTTCTCCATCAGCTTGCTGCCGTGAACCCCTCCAAGGTGAGAAAAAAAATCTTTTCCATTTTGAGCAATTCTATAAGGATTTTGGACTAAGTTGTGAAATAGGAAAATGATCTACATTCAATTCTCTATCTTTTGGTATAAGAAATTCTAGGTAAATATGCTTGGATTTTGAGATTTGATTATTAGGGTTTATGAAGGGTTTATGAATTTTATGGATTTAATGAAAGATTTGTATGTTAGTGGTGTTGGAGATTAATTCTAAAGCTTGTGTAATGACCAAAATGATGTGTAGGTGCTTATATATCACTTGCCCAAGGCTAAGGTTTTAAAAGATTATTGGATTTGAATTAAATTTGATGTTTTGATTATTGGATTTGGATTAAATTTGATGTTTTGATGATGAGAATAGCATGAATTTGTTGTAAGGAGGTTGAATTCATTCTTGAAATTGAATAAAAAGTCCCCCTAAAGTGACATGGGGTATTCGGCCATAGGAAAATATTAAGGGAAAAATGTTGAAAATTTTCCTATGGTTTAGAAATGATATTAGAAGTATTCTATGCGAATTGGAGATTGATTTGGATCAATTTGGAACCTTAAAAGTGAAAAAGGGTTGGTTTACACATTTTAAGGATTGTGGAACATTATTGTATAAATGTGAGAATTGGAGTATTCAATGATAATATTTAGTATTTATATGATGGAAAATTAAGTTACAAAGTTGGTTGGAACCAAATTGCAAGTTTGGTAAAATTTAGGGGTGGAATTCGAAAAGTCCAAGAAATATAGGGACTTGATTTCAAGTTTTTAAATCTAAAAGTACCATTTGGGTAAAATAGTACATTGCTGTAAATTTTATTTATGTGCTGATTTTTTTAGTTTAAATGTTGAGTTGGGATTGAATTTCCAGTTTATCAAGTTGGGTGGTTGAAATTGAAAAGTTTCATAAAGTTATTGATGAAATTGCAAGTTTTTAAATATTCAAGTGTTGATTTGAATATTTTATTAAGGTGCTGGAAATTTTATGTGATTGATGTGACATGACCATAATAGTGAAAGGCTATTATGAATTTAATAGGAAGTTGAGGTGAATTCTAGAAAGAATTCATAATTAGTGGTTTGATTTTGCAATTAGCAAAAGGTGAAGAGTTGATAAAGGATATATATATATATATATATATATATATTGGAATTTAAGGAAATATTTTTAGAATTTTGAAATTTTGATGGGAGTACGATTTAGTTTTATGTCAATTTAAGTATTGATTTTATTTCTATCGAATTTTATATTTACACTTAGATTATATTAGTTTAATGCTAACATATACCTTGAACATTTTATGTTATTATATGACGTCGTCAGACCTCAATAAATCTACTGATTCAAGTAACTCGAAAAAGAAGGAAAAAGTGTGGAAATTGAGAAGATTATCGAGGAGGAGATTCAACACGAAGACAAAGGTGAGTGCATTTAATTCGAGCTTGTGTTATCGTACAAACATTGGCTTGTGATGGGCTAGTGACAGAGTTACTATGGTAAGAAGTGACTCCAAATGTTATGTGAATTGTGATTCTAGCCTAAAGGTTCATTTATTAAAGCTTACAGAATTATGAAATTAAGCTAAAGATGCTAAATAAGAAAAATTGTCTAGAAATTAGGATTGAAATAGTAATTTTAAATTTCACCATAAATTATACAGAATTGATTAGAGGATGATCTCTACACTGTTAGATTTGTATGTCAGTCTAGCTTCGTTTAAAATAGATTGTGACTAATTTTGAGGTGAACACAAAAAGATATGAATTTTTAATTGTGAATAGGTCAAAAAACAGGACAGCAGATTCTGTCAATCAACTTTGAAAATTCTCTATTAATCATACAAGTTGAAATAGAAGAGTTGTCTTATATGGTTAGATTTGTATACGAGTCTAGTTTCAGTGATGCAAACAGAATAATTGTTCAGTATATATTAATACATAATAATATTTGTTCGAAGGTAGTGCAAACTGTCAAAATATGGAATTTTGATCAATTGTGTATTGAAAGTAGTGGAATGCAAAGGATTTAAATCTAAAGCTTAGTTAGGCTTATATTTTTGATTTAAAAAAATAAAGTGTTAAAGTGAGTGCAGTTTATTTATTTGATTATTATAACCGAGGACGACTTGCGATAAGTCAACCTCATTTTATTTTCCAGTATGATTTATAAACTTTCAGTATGGAAAATTTCTATAATATTTTTCAACAAGTTTTATGAATGATTTTGGGTATTAATTGCCCAAATATGATATTTACGATGATGAATTCTAAATGTTTACAGTTATCAGATGATTTTCAGTTATCATATATTTACATATATCATATGATTACAATGATCAGATATGTATAGATATAAGATGTTTTAGAGTTATCAAACACAAATTAATAAATGATTCTATGATGATACATATAAGCTCATTGTATGTTGCATTGAGAGTCATAGGTACATTTGGCATGTCATTTAGTGAGTACTTTTCAGTTATCAGTTATCAGTTCAGCTTTGGTACATTCGTGTACCAATGTTCAGCACCGTTGGTGCTCAGGCTATGATTACACTGAAATGCATCATATCACAGTTTCAGTTATGATTTGGCATCGTGTTGTGCCTAGTGCGTACCTTAAACTCACGCACCTTAAACTCATGTACCTTATATTATGTTACATATACATTGGGATATACAGATAAATATGAAAGTTATGACAGAATATGAAAATGAATATGAAAGTTATGAATCACGTCCAGTTAAAAGAAATCATGATATTGTGATTTTATTTGATATTATTCATCAGAATCTTAATGAGTTTATAACTTAAAATGACAGGAATATGAATTGTTTACGACATTTATTATTGATTTACATGATTTTTGATGAAATCATGTGAGGATGATTTTCAAGTTTCAAGGGAAAATTAGCTTGAACAACTCGGTTCAAAAGCTTTAGTATTTTCATTAAAATTACAGTTTCGTGTTATAATACTTTATGAAATTTATATTTTATATCATTTTAGTTATGTTATTGTCTCACTAAGTTTTACTTGGCGCGTGATGATTTTCATGCGTAAGTTCGAATAAAGTAGAGGACATGAAGTGAGAAGTTTGCCAGCATCTTATGAAAATCAAACCTACAAACAATAATAGTAAGATATCCTAACTTAGATTTATTAGTAGCATGTACATTATATTCGTTAGGTTACTTTATTAGATTTATTTTCAAAAGGGTTCGTAATAGTAATTTAGGACTGTTTAATTTTTGTTAATTTTAGTTATAGTCATAAATATGAATGAATATTATGAATGGTTTTTAAATGGTTTTAAAATTAAGCAATATTAAGCAGTTGTATATAAATAAGAAATCACATGGAACTGCCTAATTGCTGCATAAGATCAGCTTGTTTTGGAATGATAAATTATTATTTACGAATATGCATGATAAATGAAGCAGAAATAAAATGGATATAGGAATGTTTTAAAATGAAACTAAATTTTCAGCATTTACTTTCAGTGAATGTTCCTAAAGTTCATGTGACATTTTTAACTCGTATTTTGAGTCATATACAGGCTATTGGTGTTACATAAAGTGTTAGCATGATATATATCATTTGTACTTAATTATTGATGTGACATATGTCATTTGTGTTAAAGTCATAATATGGCATATACAATGTGTGCTTAAATGATGACATTATATATACCATGTGTGCTTAAATGTTGACCAGAAAATATCATATCATCAATTAAGTATATGTAGAAATGTCATTTCAACAATAAAAATCGATCGTTAATCAACTAACGATTCTCATTCACAAATAATTTACCTTATTAAATTATATTTTGTTTTTATCAACTTCATGCAACTTGCTTCCTTGGTGAAAGTTTTACAGGGCTGCCGCATCTGTCATGAACATATGGTAGAGTGGTTGAAATATTTACAATGTTTTATTCAAAGTAGGGCAAAACCAGTAAATGTTACAGATTTCAAAGATTTATCTTTTGGAATTTGTTTGTGTGACAATTTTAGTATCTATTTACTTTATTTTTTATGATAAGGAGACCCACCCAACATTTTAAAACCTTAGTACTACTTCAGTTGTGTAAGCAACTCATATTAATTGTTCCTAAAAGATTCTAGTTTCTGCTCTTCAATTCTCTCTTAAATATGGTTCATGGATTTCCAACAGCTATTCTATATAATAAATGAAAACACTGCGTGTTCCACTGCTCTGTATTATGGCCATTTAATGTGCATTTGCTTCTCATTTATTCTTACGACACTCCCTTGTTGAATTCGTCACAGTAACTATTTCTATAGGCCATGCAGACATACTCCATAAACATCATTGAAGCACCGGCACGCATAATTAATAATATAATTAAGGTTTCTTTGATGTTAGAGTACGTGGAAACTGAAGCAAAATAAATCTTATTTAACAATAAGAAAACATAAACGTAACAATTAGTTCCGGACACGGTATCTATCCAAATGAAAGCTGTAGCATTATAGATGGTGAAATACTAGGAACATAAAATCTAAGTAGCACACACTAGTGGATAAAATGCTTAATGGAACTGACACAATTACCAAAAGGTATTTGCTTAGGTCCTGGGCTTGAGGTGGCCTTCATTGGCGAGCTTGAAGAGACGAGCCTGAGCTTTTGCAGCACTGTTCGAACCAAGTGCGGAGACAAAACTCTCCCTGACTTGCTTAGTCGAGAATGGGAACCTGTGGTTCACCATGGAGTTGAGAAATGAGGCGGTTCCTTCCCGGTAGAGCGCCCCGATTCCATCGGTACGTGTGTTTGAAAGTGCTTGGGGCAAGCTCATGGTTGCTCCAAACCCGGGAGCGCTAGTCACACCGAGTGCACTGCCTAAAGTGCCCCACCAACCAAGCAGACCCCATATCAGTGTGGGGTGACTCCTCCAGAAACTGAACGTAACAAATATGAGTTGTTAGTATCGTTACTTGGTGATAAAAGTTAAAACCAACATTTGGAAGTCACAATGACTTACTCGCATGTACCACCGATCGGTGGAGTTGGAGCAGGAAAGAATGGAGGTGTGGGAATGCTTGGAGTTCCTGGATCGATAGTGGGAGTTGGCGGACTTCCACCACCGTATGATGGTGGACTCCCACCTCCGTATGATGGTGGACTCCCACCTCCGTATGATGGGGGACTCCCACCTCCGTATGATGGGGGACTACCGTGTGAAGGAGTGTGCGACGGTGTCGATGGAGTCGATGGCTCATGCGGCGGTGTTCCACAATTTCCACCCGAAGGAGTCGACGGTGTTGTTGGGGTATGGTGGTAACCACCTCCATGAGATGGGGTTCCATGAGAGGGAGGTGAGGCACCTGAACCGTGGGATGGTGGTGTTCCATGTGAACCTGCACTTGAACCAATTAGAACACAACAAAAAGGAAACAGCAAACAACTTGCAAGTTGCATGAACTAGTACATACCAGAGGCGGGAGTTCCTGCATGAGGATCTGGAGATGGATAGTAGTTTTTCTGCTCTCCAAGGCCAGTGGAGGTCACAGCAATGACCAAGTTTTGGCACAGCAAACCAGCAACCAAAGCCCACATCAAACAAACCTGCTTGATTCTTTCCCTCGCCATATCTGTCTACTACTTCAACAGCAAAGAATGGAAACGTGGGTTGAGAACAATGAGGGGCTGATCACTATAAAGCCCCAACGAGGTGAAGTAAATGGAAACAGGTGAAGCTGCATGAGGTTAGTTGATGACAGCAGGTGCATTTATATGTTGTATTAATTATCAACTTTTGAATTGTTGAAACAATGCTGAGCTTGAAATGGTCTTGCACGTCAACTCCAATGAAGAGATTACCCGTTAATTCGCAAATCCAATGCAGAGAGATAATTGCACTGGGACCATCTTTACTTATTACACAAACGTAGATCAATATAGGTTGGCATTTGCATGAGATTAGTCTTTGCTTAAATATAGGATCTTTGTCTCTCCCTACGTCCCTCTTATGCTTATCTACATTTGACAGTTTATTAATTTTCAACATCTCATAATTACATTTCATACGATAAAGGGTTGCTGGTAGAAATTTAAGCTTTCCAATATGGAATACGCTCCTAATATTTGTATAGTTCATCTGGATTACGGATTCAAATAGCGATTCATTTTCAAAATAGTGAAGGTGTCGTTCAAAATCAATATTACTCTATCATAATAGTCCCAATGATGTACTAAATCTGTCGCACTAGATACAACACTATGGGATAATTTCTTGCTTAGATATTTCAAAGGAAAATTGTTGAAGCACAACACTTGTACAACCTGTCACAACCCACCAGGAAAAAAAAGAGAGAAGATGATGGAATGTAAATTTTGCAGAGCAATTAGAGAGGTTGATGAGGTTGAAATGGACCCACAGTTGTGCAAATGGAGAAATGGATGTTAAATGGGTGTGGCAGAGAAGTAGGTGTAGATTATTTACAAGAGTAATGAAACACAGCAATGGTGGTGCCATTTGGAGGCCTATACTTAAACATGGTGTCAGAGAGGAGAAGAGGGAAGCAGAAATGAATTTTCAAAAATTGTTTTTTAAATGATAATTTTCACAAAAAAAGTGATAATTAATCTAAAATGATAATTTTGAAACATGATATTTTAATTATTATTAATAATAAAATAATTATTATGTGCTATTAAAATTTTATTCATACATTTAATTATTATTATAGTATTAAATGAATTTTGAATAAGATTGTTTTCAAATAATTTAGAATTTTGTGTAAGGAGTTGAATATTGATCCTAAAGAAGTGAGAGATGATGGCATTAATTATGATCTGTGTTTAGTGGGTAAATTTCTTGGAGAGTTGTTGCCATGAATAGAACACTTGTAACTCTTGGAATCCCCTTGAGAATACCGATTTATAAAATTTTACAGAAAATAAATTATTAATAGAAAATATTAAAAAATATCAAGAGGACGATCACTCTACCTCTCTCTTGGTTCATCCTTGTTGGTTTGTATATGATTTAGTTTTTCCGTGTTATAGGTTAAATAGAGTTATAGCGGGCGACTTTGGTGGTTTGGTCTTCCGATGATTCTTTTTTTTTTTTTGAAAAGTCGAAAATGATTATAAGATAGTATTTATTCATAATCTTTCTTAATAATTGACAATGTATATATATATATCTTACAGACACAACTGTTCGAATTCAGAATTTTAAGAGAAATTATTAAAACCACTTAATAAGTTCAGAGAGTAGGTTTCCTTTTCTGTTGTGCATGATATGCCATCAGAATTTAAATTTGAATGATCTAGGAAAAAGGGTGGATAATTCGTATACTTCTTTCCAAAGATGAGGAATTTCAAAAATACCTTACTCAAAGAGAGTTTGAATGAGAGCCGAATTTCCACGTTGGCAGCAGGCAGCAGGCAGCAGGCAGCGTGCATGGCCTATGCAGGGGAAAATTTGTAGAATTTAATAAAAATAAATAAAATTATACACATATTTGTTTATTTACTTTTAAAGGTAATTAAGTTTAGTCCGTATTCATTTATTTATTTATTTTTAAATACGTTCGAGTTCGTTTATTTATTGTTCGCGACCATGTTCGTTTATATATTCAAAAATGACAAAATTAAGCCACTAGTCCTTCAACTACTTAGGCTTCATAGTTTGAACTCCAAAGTTCACATTGTATGCAATTTAGTATTTATCTTCACTAATATTTAATATGTAAAAAAAATAAAAGGAAAAGAAAAACAGAGTAAACGAGCTTATAAACGAGTCAATAAATGAGTTTATTCATGAACATAAACGAACCAAATACAACTTTGTTCCTATTCGTTCATTAAAATAAACATAAAAATTTTGTTCATACTTACTTATTTAACTTAATAAAAGAACATTATACGAACAGTTATTGAACACTATTCATTTACACTCTTACAAGCACATTGGAGTTGTTAGTTCGAAGTTTGATTGTTGTTTTATAGTTTAGTTAGACGTAGTAGTGGCCTTGATGGATCAGTTATTGTATTGAAGATTTGTGATCTAAGTGAAGTAGTTTATGTCTACACCTCTGCCTTCTCACAGCGCTGTATTTTCTTTCCCACTCTGATCCGTCTCAATTGCAATTGTTTGTTAAGGATATGAAATAACAGAAGAGAACTATTATTCTCTACACCTCTTTAGATCACTTCCAATTTTGACTCATTAAAAGTAAAAAAATTAATGAAAGAATCAATGAACTCACATGGATGGAAAAAGCAAATAATAATGAGCAAAATTTGTCCTCAACTACAAAAACAATTACTTTCACCTGTATCCATAGCATTCTTACAGATGATGTGGATCTCTCACACACTGTTTGGCATCTGGTAGTAAATTATGACTAACTGGCTTCAAACCTCTTCTAAACCACCAATTTACGAGGGTCAGTTCTAATCTCCGGACCTGCAAACATTTACTCTCTTCCATTACAGTTCATCATGCATTTGAAAGAAATATCAGATATTGTACATGCTATGAAAAGATGCCAAAGCAGAGATGAAAAGGATTACAAACATGCAAAAACAGAAAAATGTAAATCATCCTTTCACCAAGATTTTATCTGACTGACCATATACTTTTTCATCTTTCAATGCAATGTACATGTGTTTTCCATTTAAAACACTAGCAACTCGGGGAAAAACAGAGAATTAGCTTTTTATATATTAAAATATTAAAACAGCACAAACTCATTTGTCTCACACGAGAAAATTTTAGCACATTGATTCATATATAGTGCCCAAAATAATATAAGTTTGACATTAGAAAGATGGAATGCATTCAAGAGTCCAAAACAAACAAATAGCTCAGGTACAATTTTCACATCCATTCTTTCTACCAGTGAAGGATTGTTAATTGATAAAGGAAGTTTGTTGGATAATCATAAAGAATAAAATCCATAAATATACAAGAAAACTAAAACAAACATCAAGAAATGAAAAATCTTGGGGAATGAATTTTCCAGAACAGGTGTTATCTTAATGTAGTGCAGGTAAAGGATGATGCAACTTGGTGGAAATTGGCAGCAATTAGATAGTTCCATCAAAGAAAAGGAAAACCAAGATCTAGGTGCCCACAAAACAATATATCAAGGAACAAAGCTAGCTGACACCCTGAGTAACACAAATTCACCAGACAGTTCTCATCATTATGTATATTGACATACATATAATTGTCGTGAGAGCACTTAAAAGTCCATCAACCCTAAAAGACTCAACAAAAAAGCTTAGGTTACTAGACAGTCTAGTCATCAAATGGAGAAAACAATAAGAAAATAACAAGAAAACGGATGTAAGGTCTAGGTTTGTACAAGAATGAAAAAAAAAAAGTCCAATAACTATGGTTTATTCAGATATAAAGCTAACAGCTAAGTCTAATTTCCGAGATTAACCATCAGTGGCAAGCTACTCCCAGAATAAGAGGACAAAAATACTTCCCCAGGGTTTGTATTCTCAATCCTTCCTTTTCGGATTGTTCAATAAGATCTTTTGTAGCACAAAAAATGTACTGGAAAGGAAAGGAAAACCAACCTGCCTTACAATGAATGGCTCCTCAACAACACTTAAAGGCTCAGTTAGTATAGTGAAAAATCCATTTCGGTTTCCATAAACAGCATCCGTAAAGGGCCGATCACCAACCTGCCATAAACAGAATTATGTCATCGACGTGATCCAAAATCAAGATAAAATCAACCACCTCCAGTTAGTTCTATCACCCTTTACATACCATGATATGTTGTGATGATTTATATCCAAAATGTTTCTCAATTTCTTCAGCTGTTCCAGCTGGTTTCTTCACCTCTACAAAGACATCATATGGAGACCCTAATCAATTCTAAATAAACCAAACACTTTTGTCATAAATAAACAGTAACTCAAATTAATGTGTGTTAAACCTACAATTCACCCCAATGTTTTTACATGTTTAATGTTTTAACACGGGATTGAAACTAGAACATACAGTAAAAGAATCGATTTCTATCTTCATATATGCTATAGAAATGAATTGGGTAACAGAATAAAACAAGAGCCTTGCAACGAAAGGGAGAAAAAACTTACTGTGCCTTACTACTTTAATCCCAATAGTCCTTCTAGTTTCTTCGCCTTTGAGCAATCATAATTCACTGTCGAAACGATTTTTCTTAAGGGTGAGAAAAGGGTGCGATTTTAAAAACCACATTAATTCTTAATTATCTCTTTTTAATTTAAAAACAAATACGATTTAAAAGACCTCTCGTTTCGAAAATTTTTGGATTTCCTTTACGATCGAAAAATACGGTTCGAAGAGTCGCCATCAATCTTTGATTAGGGTGTGATTGGACACCCAAAAATGCTTTGTCATTTTAAATAAAAATTAATTTTAATTAAAACAACAAATTGAGGTCTACGTTACCAAAATCTGAGTTTGGGAGTCGGTTACGTGTGGGGAAGGATTAGCACCCCCACAACGCCCTAAATTAGTACCTAATCGATTAATTAACGTCTTTGCAATGAACTTTACAACTTCGAATTTAATTTGATTTTTGATCTCATAAAACAAAAAAATGTAAATTTAAAACATTCAAAAGCATTCAAACAAATTAAATTAACATTACCGAGTCGTTTTAGAAAGATAAAGAGTGTTCGATTATTTACAAATACGTAGATCAGATCTTAAAAGCTATAACAACCTTTTCTCGATAAATTTAAATAACCGAACATTTCCTTTTCTTTCGTTCCCAAATTTTAGGTTACAAATTGATTTTTAGGTTTCACT